TATAGGGAAATAGTATATGAATTTGTTGACAAAGTGATAATGAATCATAATATGATATTATATACGGGGTGTTCTATTTGAAAAATTGAAGAAGCCGCTACTTTATAGTAGAAGCGACAACGCCGAAAAGCCCTGTATACCTTTGGTTCCAGGAAGTTCAGAAACTCAGCAGTGATAGAGGGCATTTTATCAAACGTATTTATGCCAACTGGGTTGGCATTGAATTTATAATTTGAGTATTTCAGAAGAAAACATTGATGATTGATAACAGAAGTGCGTAATGCAACGTATTTATTGAAATAGTCAATGTTTTTTCCAACAATGCAAAAAGAACGACCTATTTTGTTTTAGTATTTGAAATTCAAACAGTCAATGATTCATCCATTAATTCAATAACTTTTATTAATAAATAGCACAGCTCTTCACGCCGGCAGGCTCCATATATTCCGAAAATAGTAGCAAATTTTATCATCAAATATCTGGCGCCTCATTTATAAACCTCTGGACTTGTTCGAACGTAATTGTTTTTGATTTTTTGGGCCTATAACTTTCATTTTTCCGCTTCAAGAATGCTATTTAATACCTTGAAATAGTGAAATAATGGTTAAAAATATTCAAATCGGTAAACAGATCCTTACATGAGTCTTCATATTTCTTGAACTCTCAGTAATTTGTATATTCTTGTACAGTTACCATAGTTGATCAGACAATAATTGAGTGAAAATTGAATATAAGAAAGATAATAGCTCTTCAATATATTCGAAGTAACAACATTACAAAACTGTAATGGTCATGGTCAGGTCTGAACATTACCATTAGATGAGAATATATACATTAAAGCATTTCAGCTCATCCAAACACTGTTGCCTTCATCAGTCATGGTGGCCTTCTTGGTACTATTGAAGCAGTGTATTTTGGTGTCCCAATTCTGGGCATACCAAGATTTTGGGATCAACATAAAAATATTGAAGATGCTGGTAGGAGGAATATGGCTATCAAATTGAATTATCACAATATCAACGAGCAGGTTTTCGGAAGCGCATTGAATGAATTACTAAATAATCCAATGTATGTACAATGATTTGCCTTCTTTGTCATTCATTTGTGAGTGTGATCAGTAACATCTATTTCTTTTCAGGTACAGGAATAGTGCGAAACGTCAATCTCGAATAATGAATGATCGGCCTGTGAAACCGCTGGATGAAGCAGTGTTTTGGATAGAGTATGTAATTCGATATCGAGGAGCTCCACATCTCAGACCTGCTGCTTTGGATTTGAAATGGTATCAGAGATACCTTATGGACATCGTAGTTTTCTGCAGTTTCATTGGAATCACTTGTCTTCTGTTTGTTTTCCTGGCTTCGAAATGCATTTATTCCGACCGGAAAAAAATTGACAGTTTTTCAAAGAAGAATAAATAGGCGTTGATCCGATTTCTTCTACTCTTTGTGGATGTCCATGTCGAATATAAAATCTGCTTTTTATATAACCAACGTATGCCTGATTAACATTGGTGTCTCTCTGAACCTTATATTTTTAAATGTTTTCATTACATTTGCCCTGTTTGTTCAATTGTGTATTAATTTATTAATTTATTTGTGTCAAATTCAATAATTGAAGTTTGGCCCTCTTCCTTTTGACAAACTGATCTAATATTTGGTATACAAATTTAGTTTTGATGACAATACAATTTAATAAATTCTGTGTTCCTGTGAATCCAAGATTATATATTATTCCACAATGACCTCATTATGGGTACCAAATGATAGGGCTTGACTGGTAGAATAGTAGTTCACTTTGAAGAAGATGCAAATTCAAAATGGCCGCAGCTACAAAATGGTGGATTACATATTTCTTCACAACTAATAATAATGATTTTGATGATAATAATCCCATCTGGTCAAGCCAGAGTCCAAACAAGGTGGGTCACTTTCAGAAAGGTGTATTTCAGGGCGATTCCCTCAGTCCCCTTCTTTTCTGCATCTCACTATTGCCATTATCTGTTGCACTCAGACATACTCGAGGGTATACCGGAGGCACAAGGTCACCCATTTGTTTCATATGGATGATCCTAAACTTTATGCCTATAGAGAGAAGGATCTCCATCAGTCCTTGAGGGTGGTGGAAGAGTACATATATGCTATAGGTATGAAATTCGGGATAGACAAATGTACAATGGTCCATTTCAGAAGAGGACGATGCAGGGACTACGGAGAGGATGTGCAGCTCGTAGATGGCAGCTTCCTACACCATTTGGATCCCGGAGAGACGTATACTTCAGCAAAGAGCTCATATAAAAGCCGCAGAAATTACCTCACTCATGCGGAAAACCAAATATAAGCCATTGCATGGGGTCTTCTTCAATAACATTGGAGACCTTGGCTTATCAAAGCGACTGACTTTCGCTTTTCTCAGGTCGAGTGGGCTANCCCCTCAGTTTCCGACTTCAGCCCACTCGACCTGAGAAAAGCGAAAGTCAGGCGCTTTGATGAACCAAGTTTTTCAGTGTTATTGAGAAAGACCCCATGCATTTGCTTGTGTTTCCGCAGAAGTGAGGTGATCTCTACGGCTTTTATATGAGCTTATTGCTGGACGGGTTCCAACGCAGTGATAGAGTTGTGGTCACTTCGTTCAGTGTCGAAAACTAAACCAAGTTCATCAGCTGCTCGGGCAGCTGCCCTGAAGAGAAATACTCCACTTATTTCTCTCTTATGGTCACGGAACATGCAGAGAAAAGGATCCAAACTCCTGACGACTTTACAGGCTATATCCAGTACCATTCTGTCATGTACACACTCCAAACTCAAAAGTCCACGGTCTCCCTGTTGTCAGGTGAAGTACAACCGTGGACCGGACGATTTGGGATGCAAACTACTATAGAAATGCATAATTTTCCGGGTCTTTACGTCGAGTTCATATAGCTCCTCCCGAGTCCACTTCACTACTCCAAACGAGTAGAGTAAGTTTGGAACGAAAAGCTTATTTGTTGCAGCAACTTTGTTCTTCCCCGACAGTTCCGATGACCAGATCTGTCGAAGTTTGTGCTGATACTTGCCGAGTAGAGAGTTCTTCACTGTTGCTACCTCTTATGAGTGGTGTTGTTCCACCCCGAGGTAAGTATACGTCTTTCCGCCTTCCAAATACTGTAGGATGCTTCCATCTACGAGCTGCACATCCACTCCGTAGTCCCCGCATCGTCCTCTTTGGTGATGAATCATTGCTCATTTGTCTATCCCGAATTTCATACCGGTAGCATGCGTGTACTCTTCCACCACCCTCAAGGACTGTTGGAGATCCTTCTCTCCAGAGGCATAAAGTTCAATATCATCCATATTAAACAAACGGGTGATGTTGTGCCTCCGGTTACCGGGAGTACCACAATTATACCCTCGAGTATTTCTGAGCGTAACGGATAATGGCAATAGTGAAATACAGAAGAGAAGGGGACTGAGGGAATCGCCCTGAAATGCACCCTTCTGAAAGTGACCCGCTGTTTGGGCTCTGGCTTGACCAGATGTTATGGTGAAGCGAGTTCGCCAAAGTGGTATCAGTTGTTCAATGCATCTCACTATGTTGTCGGGTACCGCAAGGCATCTGAGCAAATGCAAGATGAGCTCATGCGATATTGTATCAAATGCGGTAATCGATCCAGGCCATAAAGAGGTTACGCTTATATTGTATCGAGTCCTGCGTTACTATTATTATTATGATTTCTCATGGCTAGCTGGATGTTATACGAATATATCATTTCATATGATAGGTACTAACTCTATCTTTCGCACATTTCATCTTTTTCCATACTCAAGACCTAATTCAATATTTAGGTGACCGGAACTGAACTAATTCACTCTCACATTACGCATTGATTCGATATGTACCGAACGGGGTTTGATTACAGACTCAATTTTATTACTAGGTACATCACGCACTGATTCGATATGTACTGGACGAGGTTTCACTTTAGACTGTCTTTTTTGATTCGCGACTTCGAGTATTCATATGTAACGCTAGATGCAAAACCTATTTCAAGATATGCCGATACTCATCTGCTGTGATTTTACATGCCCCTTTTTTGACTATCTGATTTATGACCCTTTTAATTATCACTTCAATGGTTGTTTATTCATTTACCCCAAGTACCGGCAACACTTCAATCCCTTTATGGATTTGCCGCTTTTAACGTAAATCTTTACCGAAAAAGATGCCGATTTGTATCGACCTTGTCATGTATACATTATTTTAGATTTGACCTACTTTCGGTTCATCAAGGGATTGAACGGAACAGCACTCTATAAAATGGAGGGATAGACTAAGGACACCTGTTTCTGGCTATTGGCCTCATCAGCACAGTGTACCCAGATGCCAAGATGGGCAACACTTGGTTGCTGAAAACTGGAAAACAACACAAGAGAAGCGAGTCACCAACAGAAGCCTACCTCACATTTGTGGTTCCAGTAAGGAGACCTAGAATTACAAGCATATCCTAATATTACCACGGAAGCAGCTGCAGCTACTTGCGTGACTTTTGGGTCCAGGACAAGATATAAAAAGAAGGGTTTTGTCGAGTGGTTATGACTAAAATCAAAAGAGGAAGGGACTGGATGGAACAGCAACCTCGGGAAAATATAAGGCAAACCGCAGACACGTGTTTCTGGCTATTGGCAACGTCACTGTGATGTAACCAAGTGTAAAGATGCGCAACACTTGATTGCCGGAAACGGAAACCTGGAAGTCACGCAGGTAGCTGCAACTGCCTCCTTGGTGATGTTAGGATATCCTAGCAATTCTAGGTCCCCCAACTGAAACCACAAATTTTTGGTAGGCTCCTGTTGGTGACTCCCTTCGTTTGTGCTGTTTTTCCACTTTTAACAACCAATTTTTTTATTCCTGTTCATGGCGCAAGTCTCGACAAAACATTTTTTTTATATCCTTGGCCCTGAAATCATGCGACTAGCTGCAGTTGCCTTCGTGGTGATGTTAGGACACCCTTGCAATTCTAGGTATCCTAACTGGAACCGCAAATGTGCGATAGGCTTCTGTTGGTGACTCCATTCACTTGTACTGTTTTCCTGTTTTTGGAAACTACGTGTTGCCCATTTTGCACTTTTGCTACATCGTGCTGGTGAGGCCAATAGCCAATGGTCCGCCCCTTCCATGTGTGACGTACATCCATTCGTCTTTGATAACATCACGAAGTTACGATAAGATCCCACTTGCAATATTCTTGTGCTCTGCTTGGTAGCTGAATATGAAACTGAAGAACTTTGCTTCATACGTTGCTGTAGGCTGTAGTTGTGGCTTGGAAAGTCCTAATTGGTCGATGGTGTGCCTGTTTCGCAAGATTCGTTCCGGTTGACTGGTGGAACTCAAGGCATATCGATTATATTGTTCCAGACTGTGAGTTTACTGTTGGTGGTGCACTGGCTTTGGTTTTGGATATGATGATTTCCCATACACCCAAGAGGTGGTGTGCATCATCACTTCTGTTTAGACTGCCGATCTTCTCAATTTCTATTGTCTTTTTCATCATTCCGGTTTGCATTCTGTTTGCAATTCCTGAAGTCGATGGTATGACACATATCAGAGTGGTGTTTGTATAGGACGGAAAATTTGTGTTTGTTGCGAAGTGCGAGTTTGTGTTCCTCTAATCCGAATGATATTCGCCTATTTGTTTGGCCAACGTATTCGTCGTTGCAATCTCCATATGCGATTTTATATATGCCTTGGTTTTCTAGGTTTACCTTATCTTTTGGATTGTTCTAGGAATTTATGATGGATCTCGTTGGTTTATATGTTATTTTCATGTTGTATCGTTTTAGATTTTTTTCTTCTGTAACTCCTCTGACGTGAGGCAGGATGGCTTTGGTTTTTTCTGTGTTTGTTCCTCCTTGTTTTCCTTCTTTCTTCGGTGTGTTGCTTCGTGAATTGTATGCTTTTTATATCCATTCTGCTGAAAAGCTTTATGTAAGTATATCTTTTATTCGTTCATTTCTTCGATTTCGTGTTTTCGTCTGTTAAACGTTCAGATCTGGATATAAGGGCAATGGCTACTGCTTCGTTCAGGTAGCTGTTAGTATGCGTTAGTTTCCTGTAGACTGTGTGCTGAATTTCTTCGTTGGGTTTTTTATAACTAGAACATCAAGAAAAGGTAACTCGTTGTTTCTTTCTATTTCTGTGGTGAACTGTATTTTCTTGTGGAGTAACTTTGGGTATGCTACGAATCTGTCAAATTCTTCATGCCAATGAGGCCAAATGAAAATGTCATCGACATATCTCAGCCACGTTTTGAGTTTCATCGGGGCGTTGTAGAGGACCTTGGTTTCGAAATAGCCCATGAGTAAGTTGGAAAAGACAGACCCATTGACCCATTGGAGCATTTTCTGTCTGTGCGTGCATAAAACTTGTTGTTGAAGGTGAACTATATGTTTTTCAAACAGTGTTCTGAGAGTTGACGTGAGCTGGTAGGTCCTTGTTCATGGCTATCTGGTCTCGTGCTTCATTCATTGGTATGCTGTGTTGCAAAGATATAATGTCCGGACTGGCACATATATCGTTTGTGTCCATTGTGATGTTTCCAAAGAGGCTGATGGAATGCTGAGTTCTTGACATATGATTGTGAATGCTATATTAGTGACTGCATTATGTTGACCAGGTATCTTTCAAGTGGCTATTAGTAACTCTTTCATTTTTGTTTTTTGTGGTTTTCACCAAATAGGTTGTA